TATTTACTGTATAAAAATAATATAGAAAAATATATTCAAATCTAAAATAATGTCTGCAAAAATATATTGAATACGTTATATCATTATTATTACTAAATAAAATGCAATGGCTATAGATTCTTAAAGATAGTTTTACATTAACTACAATAAATATCCATGTATTACTATTATAAGTTATTCTGAATAGGCCTATACTTTATTTTATAGAAATAATTTTTAAAAATCGAAAAAAAAAGCTTTATTCTAATGGGTTTTTCACAAAACAGCAATATAATTTAGCTATTGTTTATTAATATGAATTAAAAATATTATATTTTTAACTGCGTAAATGACAGTGTTTTATAATCCGCCTGTAGATTTACACAACAAGACCTTATTGGTTGTCTTTTTGGATCTGTATCCTGCTAAAAAAAAAAAAAATCTGGATAGATCATGGGAGTAGAGAGGCTATAAATAAAGCTACGCTGCTGTGTGACTGCGCGTAAATGAGTCGGAAGAGGGCAGAGTAATAGTAGGAGGGCCTGCGCCTCCTCTCTCTACAGCATTCATCCGTTTCCACCAATAAGCCCAATGAGCTCAGGGCGCACCGCCCACAGCCGGTGTGTATGTGTGAGTGAGCTTTTTTTTTTTTTTCCTTCTCCTTTCCCTTCCTTTTTTTTTTAAGCCAAAGCTGAATGTGTAGACCGTCACATGTTGTTTCCTCTCTTCAGTCTCAACATCAGTCGACATGTGTTATTTATTGCTTGGCTGCAGGAGAAGAAAAGCGCAAGTGTAGTTCTGGAAATAGAGGATAAAGAATAAAGCGCGGAGTTTGTTTTTTCCTCTTTATTTTTCCTTTTTCTCTCCAAGCTGCTCCTGGAAATTAAAGCGCTGCGCTCTGGTTTGGTCTAAAAAGGGACGCAAGAATGGCGAGTCCGCCGGCCGCGGGCGGTCAGTCGCTTATGACCAACGCTTGTAATATAAACAGCAATAATAACAGCGCGAAGAAATGTGGATATCTGAAGAAACAGAAACACGGGCACAAGCGCTTTTTCGTTTTAAAGGAGCCGTGCGATGGGTTTTCTGCGCGCTTGGAGTACTACGAGAGCGAAAAGAAATGGAGAAACAAGTCCGCCGCCAAGAGAGTTGTTCCTTTGGACTGCTGCCTCAACGTCAGCAAGAGAGCGGACGCCAAACACAGGTATCTCATTGCTCTTTACACCAAGGATGAGTATTTTGCCGTGGCGGCTGAAAGCGAGCAGGAACAGGAGAGCTGGTACCGCGCACTGACGGACCTGACGGCTGAGGCCAAAGTATGTGACGGCTCGGCGTCCAACTCTGCGTCCTCGCTGGTTGGCTTCGACGAGGCGAGTTACGGTGTAATAACGCCGGTTGCCGCCGCCTACAAGGAGGTATGGCAAGTCAACGTAAAATCCAGAGGACTGGGTCAGAGCAGGAATCTAACCGGCGTCTACAGGCTCTGCCTCTCCAGCCGGATGATCAGCTTCGTTAAACTCAACTCGGAGGTCGCCTCCGTCGTACTACAGCTGATGAACATCCGAAGGTGCGGCCATTCCGACAGCTTTTTCTTCATCGAGGTGGGTCGGTCTGCAGTCATCGGTCCCGGTGAGCTGTGGATGCAAGCTGACGACTCGGTGGTGGCTCAAAATATTCATGAAACTATCCTGGAGGCCATGAAAGCGATGAAGGAGCTGTCGGAGTTCCGCCCGCGCAGTAAAAGCCAGTCATCCAGCACCAACCCCATATCTGTACCAACAAGGAGACACCTGAATAATCTTCCCCCGAGTCAGACCGGGCTCTCCCGCAGGTCCCGCACTGACAGCACATCTACCACCTCTCCAGTGAGTAGTAAATGCTTATCTTGCCGGATACGCACCGCCAGTGAGGGCGATGGCACCATGACACGCCCAATGTCTGTCACTGAGAGCCCCCTCAGCCCAGGGGTCCACAGGACCCTTCTAAGCCGGTCCCACACCATAACAGCACGCCCGTCTTTAACCTTTGAATCATCTACCCTCCAGCACAGTAAGTCTATGTCAATGCCTCTGTCCCATTCTCCACCTGTGGCGACCCCATGTGCTGGAAATGTGTCCTCATGTGTGGACAGCAGTGTCCCCCGCCCTTCCAGCTGCAGTGCATCTTTCTCAGGCTCCCCCAGTGATGCAGGCTTTATTTCGTGTGAGGAATATGGCTCCAGCCCTGCCGATGCACGGGACCTCAGGTTACCACTAACCCTACGTAGCAACACTCCTGAGTCTCTCAAAGCCGATACCCCACCCTCTAGGGACGGCAGTGAACTTGATGGTTACATGGTGATGGAGAGGCAAAATCAGAATGGTTACCGGCGAATGTCAGAGCTGGATAAAGTCTATCGAAAGCGGACATACTCCCTTACTACCCCCCGCCAGCAGAGGCGGCCCCCTCAGGTGTCTTCAGCTTCTCTGGATGAGTACACTCTGATGAGAGCCACGTACACCAGTGGAAGCCAGTCTTCTCTGAGGTGCCACACAGCCTCACCTAAAGGAAGCGGGTTAGAAGACAACAGGGACGTTCACAGCAGTTCTAACAGTCTCCATGGTGACAGTGGCTACATGCCCATGATGCCTGGAGCCGGACCCCAGACTCCAGGGTCCAAGGACAGCCCCTACATGCCCATGAGCCCCATGTGTGTTTCTGCTCCCAAACAGATCATAAACCCCCGTTCACACTCCTGCACCGCAGGGCTGGCCCCACGCAAGGACTCCCCTGGCAGTGTTTCTCTGGAGGACAGTGGTTACATGCCAATGTGGTGTGGGCAGAAGATGTCAGTGGAAAGCAGTGATGGAAAGCCAAACACTGGAGAGTACCTGTACATGTCTCCTGTTGATGCTCCGGTTTCTCTCACACCTCCTGACTACCATCTCAGTCCCTCGGGGGACCCACAGCCCCACCACAGACCACCTTTTTGTTACAACTCTCTACAAAGATTAGTCAAAGGACAGTTACAGCGAAATGGGTCATCTGACACTGATCAGTATGTTGTGATGAGTTTACAGAGACAGCGGATAGAAGAAGAGTCCACCGGTGGTCCCGTCTCCCCTGGAGAATCGGGAAGCAGCAGCTCCCCATGTACGCCAGGCACTCCGTCCTCTCTCCCCTCTCCTCTCAGACTGACTCGGCTAGAAGGAGGAATGTTGCATCGCAGTAAGGTGTGTCGCCCCACCCGCCTGGCTCTGGAATCCCTTAAAACACTACCATGTATGAGCGAGCATCCTCTTCCCTCAGAACCTCGCAGCCCTGGAGAATACATCAACATAGAATTTGGTGGAGCTGCCCATGTCCCGCTGATGGAGAACTCAGAGGCTGGAAGTGTAATGTGCATAGATGGTGGAGCCCTGTCATTGTCAGACTATGCTAACATTGATATGAGTTCACCGGTTCACCTTGAATCACACCAAGGAGAGGATTCCCACTCAGCAGGGTGTCTGAACCACACACCTGAAGTTTTGATTTGTCCCAGTGTGGGAAGCAGCCGGCAGGGCACACAGGGAGATCAGAGCAAAGAGGATGAGAGGAGAACAGAGGCGGAGACAAAGGAGATGGGACAGAAAGGAAGTCCTGTGTTAGAGCCGCCTGCTCTTACCAAAGGTGACTACACAGAGATGACCTTTGCCCCCCCTCCTCCTTTATCTGTTCCCCGTATGACCGATGCCACCCCCCTTCCCACCAGCCCCACTGCATGTATGAAGAGACTCAGCCTTGAAAGTAGCTTAGAGGATGTCGTACCCCCAGTGCCAGTAGATTCTTTCCTGCTTGGGGGTCCTTCGTTATCTCACACAGTTGTAGATCCAAACCGGGGGGCCAAAGTTATCCGGGCAGACCCTCAGGGGCGTCGCCGACATAGCTCCGAGACCTTCTCCTCCACTACTACTGTGACGCCAGTGTGCCCATCTTTTGCCCACGACGCCAAGCGGCACAGCTCCGCCTCTGTGGAAAACGTGTCCCGCTCTGTGCAAAGCTCCGAGGGGCCTGGCGAAGACCACAACAGCCCCATGTGCAGGGAAACGTCAGCGGGGTATCAGAATGGACTGAACTACATTGCCTTAAACCTGATGGAGGGAAACCTTGGAGGGGGCAGATTAGGGGGGTGCGACGAAATCCTGAGGTTCAAGACGGCTTGCGGCTGCAAAGGGGGCCTAAATGGTTTTAGCGCCAGCCCTTATGCCAGCCTGGGATTCAAGGAGACTACTACTGCTGCTGTGAAAGGTGAGTGTTTATCGTCATTGCACACACCCATTCATTCAGTAGGTTTTTCATTCATAAAGGGAGTGGTGTAAGGGCAGAGTAGGATCAAGATCCGCCTTGATCGGACTTCACAGTCTGAAGAGTTTGGCTGTGCATGTCATGAGATTCTTTCTGTTATAAAAGTTAACGTCATCTGCATAAGACCATCATAGATGCAAGCATGCTCTGTATTAATTTTAAACTTTAAGTTCTTTTAGAATCTCATAATTGTGACTCTGAATAATGTTAAAAATAACCAGCACCCAGTCATCAGCTCTGTCTCTTTTTTTTTATTTTTTTAACTCTTCCACTGCTGATATATGTAAACACAGGCTACACGAGCTTCAGAGAAGTAAACTAGTTATTAACATGGCTACTGGGTGTGGGCTGTGATGTTTAGATAGGATTAGTCACCTACTAGTTCCACCCATCATTTAAAATCCCAAGGCTGCGAGATGATGAGGAGGTCTTTTATCTTGTTTTAAAGTGCAGAGCTGAAAGCCTGGAAACAGATTTTCTTTTCTTTCTAAATAAGATTTTAGGTATTTTGGTTAGGCAAAGAAAGGAGGCACATTTACAAAACACTTGTCTATTATGTGTGCAGTGTTCTGCTTTTTTTTAGTAGCCAATTATTTTAACTTAATTAGCTGATAGGAGTTTACATTTTCTTTAATAATTATCTGCAGAGTCTTATTTTGAAACGACTTCCAACGGTTGTATTTACTCTGGCTTGACTCTGCCTTTGTATGTTTTGTGTGAATGGTTTGCTCTGCTCTCCTACAGTGACGCAGATCTCTAACACGTCAGTATGTAAAAAAAATATACATATTTATATATATATATATATAAAACCATAGTCAGTGACGCACCACATTATGATGCTGGTCTTAAAGGAACTACACTGGCTAATATTGTACACACACACATATATATATATATATATTACATTCTGCATATGTTAGACAGTGTTTTGTAACCATGGAAAGGCTATGTCTGTGTGTGCGTGGAACGGAGGGGGAGGGGACATATCCCCCATCATAATATTACCTTTCACCTCATTTCATTCAGTGTTGCATCAGTGGCCTTTCATACATGTGTAAACGGAAGGGATTATTTACAGAGATGGATGATCCCGTCAGGGGCATGTCAGAAGTTGTTGTTTGCTTGAAAAGAAAATAGGGAGAGTCGGGATCTTTGTGAGTCACAGAAGTCTGTGTTCCCAGTGGTGAAATAGTAGAGTTTAATTAGTGTTTGTGCTTTCACAACCGTCTCCCCATCTCTGGTCTCAGCCAGGCTCTCGTTCTGTGAGCCGCAGTCAGCGTGAAGCTCAGTGCAAGTCATCGGGTTCCCCAGAAAAACAAGTGAGTCAGTTGTTTATCAATTGTCAGGTACTGGGTTTCAGGGCTGGAATGCGGGCAGTGTGCAAAGGTTGCTGGGAGAGGTGAATGCTCACTTGTTTTTCTAACCTGGTGGGATGGACTTAGAAAGGGGGGCTGTAATGGGAGGATTCTTTTCTTTTCCCCCACTGTGAGCAACTTCACAAACATGCCAATGAAATGTTCTTTTAGAAGAACAAGGTTTGATAAACATGTTTTGGGTGAGGACACACGTGAACTTGTAAGCTTGTGCCCTTCCTGGTCTGTGGAAAATCTTCCCGGATTGGTTGAAAAATACTGAGGTTTGCTTTTGAGTGGATATCCTTCTGAGTAAATTCACCCCTTTCCCACGTTGTACTTCCATTTCATCCCTCTCTACATTTCATATCCTCAACTTTACAGTGATAATGGAAATTAATTATTTATTATGTATAAATCAGTTCTCTTAATATTATTGGCTGAAAACTTTTTATTTTACTCTGTTTAGGCCTGTTTCTTCACATAAAACATTTCCGACTAAAGCCTTGATGAAACAAACGTAACTCTTTATTGACCAAATGCTGGTAAAAACCACTTTAATAGTTATATAAATCTTGTCTTGTTGCAGTCACTTCGAAGTATAACAAATTAAAACCTCCAAAAGGTTAGAACTACAAGGCTGTATGAGAAGGCTTGTTTGACAATATTATGTGAACAGAATGAGAATTTGTTTTTCATATGCAGTAAACTACACTGCAAAGCACTACCGGGGTTTTTAAAAGTTAAATTTTAAGACAGCTGAGATTTTTCATTGTATTGTTTCTTTGATCTAAACGTCCATTTCATGAGAAAGAGGTGGAGTTCTTCTTGGCTGTATAAAGCAGCTCTCTCCCACCCCTTCCATTTGCTGCTGGTTGAAATAAGGCTAATTACTAGTGATTGAGATCACAGATTTTCTTAAGACCAACACCGATTATTTTTGACATCAGTCTAACCAATCCCCGATATGTGCCTTTGATTTTAGAAGGTGATGTTACTTTTTTCTTTCATCTGAATGATAACAATAACAAAAGAAAAAGAAAAAAATGAAAGTTGTTAACAAAAACTAAAAAATAAACATTAACAAAGAGCAAATGGAGGACAATGAATGCGCTTGTGAATGCAAGGCATGGCAGCTGATTGCACAACCATGAGTCGGCAAATGCTGATGAAGAAAAAAAATGCAAATATCAGCACAAGATATCGGCCGGCTGATGTATTAGTCTATCTATACTGTCTACAGTTTTACCTCTCTGAAAAGGATGACAAAGTCTGATGTTTGCACATGCTTAGTTGCAAAAGGCTAGTTGGACAGCAGAAAGCAAGAATCAGTATCCCTCCATTTGGAGGTGAAAGACCTCTGGCATCAAAATTCTAAACATTGGCCACACCTCTTTACTACAAGACGACAGGCTTTGCTGCATTCCCCTGTGATAGTCGGGTATGCCATTGTTTGCATTCCAGCAATACTTAAGGTACATTCGGCCATCACCTGTTGTTATCTCGCATCCTTGATCACAGTTTTGCATAAGGGAAGAAGAAGCTGTACATTTGTAAACACTTCCTATTTGCCAGTGTACAAAGGAAGTTCTGCAAGTTTCAGTTGAAAACGTTATTGGCCTGCCAACGGTTGCCATATTTCTCTATGTTTGTGTTGTGAATTTCAAATTAACTCTTTTGAAAATGGCAGAAATAATAAGCCAGTTAGTCAAATTGCTACGGTCCAGATTTGCTGGAAGTTTGCAGTCAAAATTGCTGCATTGGACTTAAGAATAGAGAGATGTTTGTATAAAGAATTGATAAAAAAAAACCATTATATTAGAGAGGCAACTATACATTATTGGAAAAGACAGTTATTCCCTTGATCCACTCCAGTTGGTGAGCCAAATTCCTTTTTTCTAATAGCTTTACTCATTAAAACTAAGTAAAGTACTCCTATGATTTTACAGTATAAACATATCAACCAAAAGCAGGTACTTCAATACTCTTTGTTTGGGTTTGATACTAGTATCAAACAAAGATAGATACGAAAAGGCATGAAATTGCTTTTCATTGTTTTGGATTTAAAACTACAACCTCTATTAAAGAACCTGCAGAAGATTTTTCCTCTATTATGTGGGATAGTTTCAGAAAAACAAAATGTCAAAAGATCATAATGCCAAAACAAACAAAAATAAAAAGTCGAGAAAAGATCTAGTAGGTGCAGCTTTGCCTTCACACTTTTACCAGATGAAATGTGATGACTTGTTAGATGTGAAAACTTCTAGGTGTGTCCATCTTTGTTTATGCACCACAGCACTTTGTTAAAAGAGGCTAAATCTTTTTGAAGGACACGTAAAAACATGTTTTGAAAACGCAGAGAAGGTTTTCAGCCAAATTTAGACTGCTTTGTCAATTTTTCCTAATGCCCTGAAGTAAACTTTGATTGAAACACAGCCTTTGTCATTTTTTTGTCTGAGTGTCAGATGGTGTTGTGTTAGAAGGATTACGATAAATCCACTCACTTAAATTTCTATGTTTCAGTCTGTAAAGGTAAACGGGAGGCGTGTCTGGTGTCCTAACATCTTTTCTTCAAGCCTTTTGTTTAATTAATTTCTTTTTCATCCTTTTCTCATTTCTGTTCCAAATTTCCCTCTCTTTTAAAAAAAAAAAAACATTTGGCTTTCTGACTAAAAGTAGTCATGCACGGGTACGGACAGAGGGGCAAAACTGACTCATGCTCTCCATTTGTGGGATCATACCTCTTGCCCACCCCCCTCTCCCCAAAAATACACCCACCAGTCACACATTCTGACTTTTAGTGCCACTACCATGTGCGTACATATACAGCTATCAGCAGATGGCGGGTAGTGGGGGGGGTGCAGTGGGGTCAGGGGTTTCTGCACCTGCCCCTCCAAGCAGTACTCACTGGTTATCTGGCCCCTCCGAGGAGAGTGACAATACGGCAGTGACTGGCCGCCATCTGCCACCACAACAACAGAGGGAGAGGGTGTGTGTGTCTGTGCCTGTCTATGTGTGCGAGACAGAGGGGAGCTGGGGGCGTGGCCAAGCAGTTTCAAGAAGCCAACCACAAACCCTCCCCCCCTTTCACTCCTCATGTGCGTCCTTCTCCTCCCCCATTTCTCCTTATCGTCGCTCTCCGAAGACCCTGGTTTCTGTTTTTCAGAGGCCATGTGATTTCATTCTCCCCTCGCCCTCCTTTTCTTTTCTTTCATTCGCACAAAAATACACCTTCTCCACATGCAGCACTCTTAGGTTTCTGTTTTTGTTTACCAACTGCGTTCTATGGGTTTTACAGACAACTGACAGTTGTTTAAGAAAATCAGCCAAAGGATCCTGCCTCTTTTTTTTCTCCCCCGTCTCATCTCCCTCATATTTTTAATGCTCATTTTGAATATTCAAATGGTGGAGTATGCATCTTCACCTGTCCTGAACATCCCCTGCCCTGCAGACACACGTAAGCAGCGACTCTGATACATAACTCTTTGAGCAAAGTAGGGCGGGATGTTCCAGCGCGAGATCAAAACAAACCTCACGTATCCTCAATTTAGCTTGGAGGTAAGACGGATTACATTCACTTCAGGATTAGACATTGTTCGGTTGCTTGTTTTTCGAAAGGTGATGCAAATAGAGTGGCTCTGCGTGTTTGATGCAAGTACGCAATCCTTATATATTCATATTTGTCCTGTTCACAAACACAAGCCAGGTGAGAGGGGACCGCTGCATGGTGCTTGGTTTGGGAGGTTGTGAAACATGTGTTCTCCTAAGCATTCGTCCAACTTTCTGTCTCTAGATAGGCCTTCTGCCAGTAAGATGCTCTTGTGGGAGAATGGAGCTGTCACATCCATTATTTCAGACACCTGAATTAAAAATAGAGCAGCTGTTGTGCTGATAATTGATTGATGGATTAAGTAATTACTTTAAGTCAAATAACTGTTGTCTAATTTTATCTACAAGGGTTACTTCCTCCCTGTTTCTGCCAGCTACAAACTGGACATCGTTCTGGATGAGAATTTGATGCTGCGTTCATAAATTGTAAAAAATATAAAATTTTGCATACTTAACACATAAAAAACTACTGCTTTCATTTTAAATAAGAAAAAAACCGAAATACTATTTTCAAAATATATGAGATGTTGATCATGACAGTGAGGGCTTTGTTATCTGTAACATAATAGCCATTTGGAGTATCATATAGTGATTAGAGGGTAAATATGGAGCAGATGTAGTGCACGTTTTCTGATGCTTATTATGAAGAATATTATACTAATTTGGTCCTTTGGTCTTTATCGTGCAGAATATTACAAACGATACTAACTGGATTATCAACCAGGCTATCAGCTTATGTAGCACCTGCAGGCAGCTGCTTAGACATGCCAAAGGCAACTAACATTGGTGTTACTTAGTAAACATGACATGGGTGCCTGTGCTTTTGGTGACCAGAAATATCATTAAATGTATTAGTTTGAACATTTTCACAAATTAAGCAAAAACAGAGGTTTTATAAAATTTTACCTACCATGTGCAACAAAGGTTAGGTAAGGTAATGGACCGTGTTGGAGACAACTTTAGTCACTCATGACACCTTTTTTAATCATTGCAATAAAAGGGCTTTAAATAGGATGAGCGGTATGTTCATCTAGAATAATAAGACAACACGCCTTGCCAATACCGACTTCCAGTTTTCCCTTAAGTCTGACTCTCTGATTCTGCCTTTAGATATATTTCCTATTACAGATGACAGGAAAAAAACATGCCTTTTAGTCTTAAACCTGCTCAAAAATGAACCTTTATTGGATTTAGAAAAAAGGCTGTTCATTAACTGATCTAAAATGATGCCAACACAAATTTTGCATGTATGAGCTGGAAGGAAACGAACAACCAGGCTTTTGCATATTGATTAGTGCATCTCTACTTTCATATGAATTGGAGAGAGACCGCAAACTCTCTTGATGTTTTTGTTTTGTTGCTCCGGCAGAAGTGTGGTAGGTCAGCATTGTCAGCCGCTGTTTGTTTGACCTCAGCGCTGCTGTAGATCAGGGAGGAGCTGACCGGGTTCAGGAATGTAAACAAAGAAGGCAGACCTGTCTGTTCCATCTTTTACTGCTCAGGTTTTGAAGACAAATATTCAAATAAACTGGTGGATAATCAACAAACAGAGAATAAGGAGCCAGAAAAGAGATTACTAATACATAGCTGTATCCCTGAAAGGGACAGGGGGCTAATTTTAGCTTGAGTGAACTAAATAAATAATGAACAGGGCTTTTGTGTGTCTGAGTTGGTGTGGGTGGGCAGGTATGCGAGGGGGGGAGTGGGCTTTTAGTAGCAGGGAGAGGTGGGGGTGTGTATGCATGTGCTTGTAAAAAGGAGGAGGGGTAGAGGCTACTGGGTTCATTCCCCTGTTGGATCTCCAATCCCCTCCTCCTTGTAACAGCCCCCCTTCACCAAATCTTCCCTCCCACCCCTTTCTTTGCCACAATCTTCTTTGGTTTGAAAAGTGCTGTGTGTGGCTGATCCTGGTCTTTGCAGTTATTGTTCTTAGAAGGAATCGGAGAAAGGATGTAGAAAAAAGTGATGCATCCATTTGTTTTCACAACCACACCTGGTTGCTGGTCTGAGCTGTTAAGGTGATTCAGACTGCCTTCCCGGCAGATCACAGTCATTCTCACCCAAGTGCTTGCCTCTACAGGCTGCTGACTAGCCCATCCCCTCACACACACATTTGGATCGGCATGGTCTCTGAGTCCCATGACCTCACTGCATTCCCGTTCCTCTCTGTCAGGTTCACTCTGTTACTGTGGTTTTTCCACCGCTTCCCTCCCCACTGCGTCTGTTTTCCTCAGTCTCCGCCAGCACAGGTGGCCTCAGGAGTAAAATCAATTATCCAGTTATTTGCATCCCGGACACCCCCCCAAAGCAGCTTCCCTGTGCTTTCTTCTCTGTAGAACTAACATTGCAATCGACATTTACCTTCAGGGCAGATTGTATAGAGCAGAGATAGAGAGCAGAAGTGTGTATGTTTGTATGTTTATGATTTGAATGGATGGAGAGAGGGTGGGAGGGGGCTATACAGCAGATTCTGAATGAAAGGCTTGTTTCAGAGAATGATGATCACATTCAGCTTTGTGAAAACAGCTCTTGTTCTACATGGCCAGGAAGAAGCAGAGGGGGCAGCGAATGAGAGAAGAAATGCACCCGCTATCTGTGTGTGTGCGTGTGTGTGTTTATGTCAGCCAGCCAAGACTTCCGCTTCTATCTGATAGCCCTGCATGCAAATGAAACCCCACAAACATGTACAGAGGGGCATAAGGTCAGCACAGCTTTCCACTGAGAGAAAAGCTAGACGTCAACCACTCTGCTCTCAGAGTATCAGAAAACACTTAAGTTTGAGTGCGAGGGACAGATGAAGTGCTTTGTATGGGTAAAGTATTAGTGTTTTCTTTTTTTTTTCTTCAAATCAGGAGATTTTAAATGCCATGCTGTTTTTTTTCCATTTCCATAACAGCACATGCTGGTCAAGTGTGTGCCATCTGAGGGATAATACAGCACAATTGCAAACTACTCATAGTGGATTTTGCTGAAAAATCAAATCCATAATGTTGTATAAATAACTTTTAAACATATAGAGGTGTAGAGAATGAATAATTTATTTTTATTTTTATGAAAAACAAGCAAAACTATATGCATTTTTTTTTTTTAGAAAGCAACCTCAAAATAAACAGCTATTGTAAACTATCTTTGATCCAATAATGATTATTTAGCCTAGTTTTGACTCATTAACATCATATTGATATGTTTCCTCAAATAGGATAGCAATTTTATAAACCTTAAATTGTGTTAGAAATTCCCCAGTAAACATTAAAAACATTAAAATTATTTATCTGGCAGAATATTGGAGAAAGAGACACAATATATGACCGGCTAACTGTTAGCTGCTGATCACACAGGTACACTGGGTGGTTTTTAGTTTTCTATAGGATTCCAAAACCGAAGTGCTTTCTCCTTTTAGGTAGTCAATGGGATATCTGGGTTGTTTGACAAAATAAAAGCATAGAACAAGTTAAACAGTAACATCTTATGTTTCGTGGGGATCCAGCATTATGATTAAAGGTGTGAGAAATTTCCACCTACCTCCATTTAAGATCCTTTTCTTTTAAAGATTTCAATATAACCTTACCAACCAGCAGGTATGCCACACAAATGTTTATCTCAGGGGCCTCTAATAGGGTTCTGCATCTTTTAGAAAAGCTTCTGCTTCAGCACACCTGAATCTAATGATTGAATTCCCTCCTCAGCTGCTACCAAGGGCTGTAGAGGCCCCATTAATCTTCAATTTATTTAAGTCAGGTGTTTGGAGGCAGGGAAACATCTATGTAAGCCAGTGGATCCTGAAGACCAGGATTGAAGAAACTGCTTTATACCTTAAACTAAACCATCTCTTTTTTATTTATTTAATTTATTTTTTGATCTTTTATTTATTTAATATTTAATTCCTCCAAACAGCCTAAATACCATTGACTCACATTGAAGCTCAAGTAGTAAATGATGACCTTTTTGAGAAGTAAAAATAATAATGATTAATAATAATAATGTAACTTAATTGATCTCACACTGGAGAAATTTATCTGCATTTAACCCATCCCCTTGGGAAACAGTGGGCTGCCACTGTGCAGCATTCGGGGAGCAGTGTGGGGTTAAGGATCTTGCTCAGGGACCCAGAGCGCAGGCTGTGGGAATCAAACTTGCAACCTTCTCAGAGCACAAGCATACTGCAACACTCCCCTCAAACACAAGAAATACCAAGTTCTGTTGTTAAAAACACTCTGAAAGGTTACAGTGTTGAGTTGTTTTGCACTCAGGCCTCTCAAGATGCTAGATTATCATTTCATTGCAGAGACTACACAGCTCCTTCTGAAACAGAACCCTAATGTTTTTCAACTGTGGGCTTTTTCTTCCATTATTTGTTTAAATAGTAATGAATGCATACCCTTAACCACAGAGTGTTAATACCGGTAAATCTAAAAAGTCTTATTTTCTTCTTTTTTCTATTTCAGAGTGAAGACTCATTGGTCTTCCCAGCGTTCCTCATCCTTTCCCTTCCTTTGCTGTGAAAGTTAATTCTGCTGCATCCTGATGACAAGGTCACCACTGCAACAGCTGGACAGCTGACGTCCCTTCAACTTTATGCTGCGGCCATAACCTTGGACAAATGGACATTGGACCCTTTACCTAAATCCCTCTCCTTTTTTTTCTCAGCACCCAAACATCCAGGTGCCATTGCTGCTGTAGTGCTAGAAAAAGAACTCTAACAGAATATAAAACTCTTAACACTTGATGGGTAACTTTATCTCTGCGTTTAGGCCTTCAAACTGTTCTGCACATTATTAGATCATCATCTGTTTAACTTATGTCCATTTCCAGACTTAGAAACTTGTTTTGTTTTGGCTTTAGCCAAGTAGTAGTCAGATTTTTCTTACCATAAAACCTGTGAACCAAACCCGGAGAGCATGAGCTAACAACTACATGCAAGAAAAAAATCAACAAAAGAAAACAACCTTTCATGAGTACTGATGAACACATATTTATTTATTTATCAATAGTGTATGTTTGCATTAAATGAAAAGGGTGAGAATCTGTATACAGGGTTGTTCAGCAAAAAGAGACGGCGTTTGTGAGCATATTTAAAAGTCAAAGGTTACGTTTGCTTACACAAGAAATACCTCAGCACCAAGTCAACAAGTAGATATATATATATATATATGAAATATTTATTTTCAGAGGTGAATGTGAAAATAAAAAGAAAAAAATTATATATATATATATAAAAAAAAACAACAACAATCCAAAGCCTTACTCTAACCATCAGCCTCATTCTGATGGACTCTTTTTGGTTGGACCTTTACATACAGTATCAAAGATTTACCCGATCATTTTAAGTGACTGAATGTTTATCAGAGCCAGCCTCTCTGAGATTAACTTCCTTATCTTGCCACTTGTATGACAAAAAATATGTATTCAAAATCCATAGTAATATATTTATTATTATGTATGACATGGTGTTTTCACACAGAAAAACCTTAGCAGCACCTACTAAGGTGCAGGCAGCAGAGCATCATGGGTGTGATTGTTAAAGCACAAGTCTCAGTTCATCTTTGACTTCCTGCACAAGGCCTGCAGGACGCTATGACCCATCTGGTCTAAGCATGGGCCGGTATGAGATTCTAATGTTTTAATGTTAACTTTGAAGAAAAACGCAACAGTTTTAAGGTACTAAGATACTTGGATTGAAATCCTAAACAAAAATTTAAACACTATTGCTTTTATTTAAAACAGATGTATATAATGACTATTCTTATCCCTTATTTCTATTTATTATTTTGAAACAGACCTGAGCAAAAATTTACAATGAAAATTTGATCAAGGGCTTATTGAACAGAATATACAGTAGATATCAGTAAGTGGGCTAATTATGTAGGCTGTCTGCTTAGTTAGCTCGCCTGCTTTAGCTGGTAAAGTATTTTTTATTTCCAACGAGAGTAATGAACACTCCTGTGGTTTCCACAGAAATGACTGCCCTTCTTTTTGCCAACCAGAAATATTTCCAAACAGTTGAATGTGTTTTTATTTCTAAGCAAGGCTAAAGTATGGTACGCTTTCCAGCCAGGGAACATTATGGCGGAATTTTTTTTTAGCAGTTTTAAAAGCTTAACTTTTGTAAACCTAATACTGGTAACTGGTCCTTGCCCAGTCAGAACAAGTGTCAGGAGATTGAATGTTTGCAAGCGATTTATACAGCCTAGGATAGTATTTTCTTTCCCCTCACCTGATGCCTCATTGCAGAGCTTCGCCACCAAAGCAATGTGGCACATATACACCTATGACGGCTGGGCTTGTCCCTTTGATTAGTCGTCTTCTGCACGGTTCTGCATTTATAAACTTTCCAGATTGTAACACAAGACATGCTGAATGTAGTACGTGCCGTGTTCTGAGCTGAGGAACACGGGCTCCAACAACGCGACATCCAGATGTACTAAACGGGAACCACCACACTTACACTCGCTGAATGAAAAAGATAAATCAAGGGAAGCGTCTTCTTATTTATCTGAACTCACAGGTACTTTACCTTCGCCTATATACTGTAAATAGTGGGGTGTTACAGAGAACTGCATCTGAGAAAATGCTGATAAAATTTCAGAGGTGTTAAGTTAAACAATATGTTTGTACTGTACATAGTTTGTGTTTGAGTGAACTCTTCTGATACAACAAAAGCACTAAGTTATATGCTAACCAACAAGGTTTGGCTTTTGATTTTTTTTATTTTGTAACTGTCATTGGATAGTCTTGCAAAATGGATGCCACTATAAGGACATTTTCTAATGCTGTAATTCAGAAAAAAAAAGAAAAAAAAATTGAAAAAAATATTAATACTTGACACAATTACTTCTTGATACTACAACACAACTGGCATCTATGCAATATTTACACCTTTTTGAAAATTAGTTTACTGAGATGAACCAAATGTAGAAACAATGTTACTGTTTTTAAAGGTTAAAATCAAAAATGTTTGCTGTTTGTACAATTTTTTTTGTCCTCCAAATTTGAAATGAAAAGCTTTTTTGGCTTTTCCCCCCTCTTTCTTTTTGCTAATGAAATATTTTGGGTGTTTTTGAGCAGTGTTTTGCATTTTGGAAAATGTTTTTATTCAGCATCATAAAAGGTTACGACATGGGCTATGGCATCCCTCGCTGTGTCTTCATTGTAAATATTTCATATCATGCACATCGTGATGCTAATAAGAAATGATAATTTAAACTTAGCTTATTGCTTTAGATTGTAATGATTCTTTATAGATACATGCAATAAATGATATTTAAGAAAATTGAAGACTATTATGTGTTATTTTGCACCTCGATGCTCAGAAGAAATCATTTTTTATGAAATTGTGTACTCATTAGAGGAGTCAAATCAATTACCTATTGAAACACACAAGGGATCAAAGGAAGTACGTCTTGTTTTATCACTCTAGTCAAATTACAGCCTTGAAGCTGGGTGTAGAGCTGATGTAGCTTTAGCTGCAACATTAGCGCTGTTATTGTTTTTGTGCCTAGTTGTCCCCACCCCCAGCCACACCAATCAAACCAGAATGATGAAACAACCAGGAAATAATTAAATACCACATTGATAACATATTTTCACCCTTATTCCTCCCTCCGTTTTTAATCATGCATTCCTCCAGATGAATTATTTTAAAAACATTAAGGATCTTTTGTTCTGGTCCTACAATCCTTTGCTTGAATCATGGTTTCATGTTTTGTGTGCTTATACTTCTTAGTAGAAGTGTCACAAAAACAGAAGATAAAAAAAAAACAGTACAACATTAAAGCAAATTTAATTTAAACCTTTTAATATGAATTAAAATCTTCAAATTGTGGTGATCATTTGCATTCATCTCTGTGATGAACCTTTTTAAGCCAACTTTTACTGCAATTACAGTTTAATATGTAATCGTCTCAAGCTGGGTTTAGATATTTAGTTAAAAGAAGGAGAGAACATGTTGCCCTTTTTTAACAGTCATGCTTGAGCTCAATCAGATTGAGGGGAGAGCAACTTTTAATGTTTTTTCAAGTCTTGTTACAGGTTTTTAGTTTCAGTAAGGCTTTGACATTGACAGGACAATTTGAAGGACATCTAAGCCATTCCATCGTAGCTCTAGTTGCATGTTAGCGTTGAATATCCTGCTGAAAACCAAACTTCTATTTCAGTCTCAGTTCTTTAATCTCAATCAGGTTTCTGTCCATAACTGTGCTATATTTAGATTTACCCACTTTCCCATCAGAATCCCATCACTGCTGAAAAAAGCATGGCCGTGGCATGATGCTGCTGCTGCTGCTCTTTGGACCCTCTACAATGGCTCTCAATAGTTGCTAAACACTATAAAGAACTAACTAATTGTTTTGAATATATTAACAAATGCCATTCACAACTAAATGACTTAAAAAACTAGGAATGTTTTTAGTTCTCTGTTTCTTGTCATTAGCTTGGAAACTAAATCTTTATTTTTTACATAAAATAATATCATATAGAACAAAATGAATGCTTCCTCTTAATGAAACATTTATTTTTGTCCCTATTTCCACCCTTTAAAGCCCCAAACATGAAATATTTTTCATAATATCCTATTTTTTTCAGCTTTCAATATTAAATTAGATTAGTCATTTATGTAATTTTTTATACATTGTGATGGATTTTCTGTTTACTCCATGTTTCTGATTGTATAATTTAAATTTTCAGGGACAAAAAATATCACACTCATTATTTGATTAAATGGTTAAAAACAAAAAATACTTAAAAACTGTATGGTGTTAAATAACACGGCAACAGATTTCCTATTGTAGATATTTAACAAAAATAACTTGTGTGTGTTTTTTTTTTTTTTTTTTTTTTAAGTCATGTGATAATTGTGGCTCTAAACGATTTTTATTTTAGCTGGGCTTGGGGTAAAGTGGCTCTTTGGATTTATAAGGTTGTAGACCCCTGTAGGGCTTTACAAGACCTTGCCAATTTTAACTAATAGGCAAGCATGGACATCCCGGCTGCCTCTCTGATAAATGCAGTGCCTGTCAGTTTAGACGTACAGCTGTACCATACTTCACAGTCCTTCCCAGTTTTAGATGACAGCAGTGCTCAGTGAGTTGCCACAAATTCTCCACAATTGATTCCCTGCTCTGCTTGTTAGTCTGTTCTCTAACAAACGTCACAGAACGGCTGCATTTAAACAGAGATTGAATAACACCTGATGACTCCTATTGGTTGATTTTTAAATGGAATCAGGGACACTATGTTTTATGAAGATAAAACATAAAAGAAAAAATCTTTTCAGACATTTTGGTCATACATACATTTTTTTTCAATAACATTTCCTCCTTTATGTTGAGCTAGCACATTCAACAAAATATGTCAACATTTTGCAGATGCAGCAAGTTCGGTAAGTTCAAAAGGATTATGAATTCTGTGGTGAGCTTTTGTACATGGGTGGAATACTGCATATTTGTCCTTGAAGTATAGGATCTGTTGTGGAGGGGTCGTTTAGAACAGCTGGAAAAAGATAGCTTGAGCTGCAGAGATGTGTCGGCTGAATGAAGGTGTAGAAGGTATTGAATGATAGCCCTGGGGTGGATGACATACATTAGGCAGATGTCCCAGAAGAACAGATAGAGCACAGAGGGCTAATGTGAGCATAAAATCCTTGAGAGTAAAGGAAAATATACATTATGTGTAAAATATTCACTGTGAATAAATTATTTTGATCTCTGTGTTTGATTTGCTGCTCATGTCTCAGTAAACACTATTTCCTCTTTTCAAAATGTATGTATGATAGAAAAAATGCTAAAGTATTTCTTTCTTTCTTGATTGGGCCCTTATACTGCAAGAGTAGCGTGTTTGCTGATTGGCTCATACTTTTACTGCTTCATGTTGACTGAGTCAAATATGAAAGATATAAGGTACCGTACCTTAGGCCTTAATCAACTGCATTCTTGATAAGGCCATGCAAATTGCAATTTCTATACCAATATATGAACCCATTGAACCTCATTGTGTGTGAATAGCGTCCATGTGTCTGCAAGAGCTAGGGTCTCTGTATCCATTTACACAAGCGAGCATATGCGTTATCTGGAGTTGGTGGGGGGTAGGATGGGGTAGATGTAAGAGAGAGGTCCAGATGAGTAGCACAAAGTGGCCTATAGCCCCCAGGGAGTCATCTGACTAGTGGACAGGGACTTACAGTGGTTCCAAAGGAAATTGTATGCTTCCGGAAAAGC